TCTAACTTCACAAAGATGTGGACACACCAAATACTCAGCAAAACTACTAAATCTCTATACCAACCTCAGGATTCTTGGTAAGTCCCATGCCTTCCTGAAGTCAGTAGTGAACACTGTGCTATCTCAATAACATGGAAATCACTCATTTCTTTACTCGTATTTAATTTTCTTAGTAGTTCTCTCCCAACTTATTCTGTCCTCCAGTCTTTAATATCCATCAGGGCTTCTACAGTGTTGAAGTATTATTTCTCATGGCTCATATGAGATAGTCAGCAAGGACAGATTAGCCTTCTACTGCCTCAGTTCATGTACCGTATCTATAAAGGGGTTTATGTGGCCATAATACTCAGGTTATTTGTCCTCACAGCTTACACAATTATTTGTTTTTATTGGTTCTGTCACACATCCAGCAAAAGCACATAGAAGGCTGAGAGAAATTGCTTCTTTGCTTGCTGAAACTTTTCTGTAATTCTAGCAATTTTGGTACTGAATTGTCTTTGATGAACATTTTCTCATATACATAAATGCAATATTAATGTCTGCTTTTCTGGTTATGGATTTTCTATTTATCTTTATCAAAAGCAGGTGTCAAGGTGTATCTTTTGCTTTTACTTTGTCACTCCCTTCCTATTGCTACAAGACATCAGTAAGTTATAACACTAGGGAGGTAGATGGTTCTCTGTATTTCTGATCTAATTTGATCCATCTTACACCTTATCCCCAATAGACATAATAAACACTAGCAGACACTTCCTTTTATTTCATTCAATATACCTACTGTATTGAAAACTAATATCAAATTATCAGCTTCCAAGGTCTTACCTGATGCAGTTCTTATTTTATACAAGCATTATTAGTCAGATCTGACACTCACCAAGAGACACATCTCTCATTACGCACAGCAATGGCCATGTTATTTACAAAGCCACTCACAGATACTTCTGGACCCTAATGTGCCATTCACAGGCAGAAGCTAGTCACACACCTTTTAATCATGCCTTCCATACCATACAAACAGGAAAAGACAGCTATGCTGTGATTTCACTAATTTACAATCACTGTCTCAGTGGCCTTACCTTAGAAATGTATCTTTCAATATTATATTACCAACATTTCTACCACAACCCCCTACTGCCTTACTAGGTAAAAAATAAATATAAAATTCTGTCTATCTCCACTAACTTATGCACAATATTTTTCCATTATTTTTCTCCTTTGCCATATCAAGAAAAACATAATTGTTCTACCCAATATCACTGGTAGTTTTGATGTGTCTTCCAAACTACTTCATGTACTGATAATATTCCTTTCAATAGAGTGAAGGAGGAAAATAGATGAGACCGGGCCCATGGGTCAGCGATCCCCACCTGAGCAGGAAGCAAAATCAGGTCTACTAGGTGTGCACAAGCAGAAGAGCATGGCAGATTCCTGCATGGTTCTCAGAGGCAGTGAGTAGCTCTGCCATGTTGGGCTGGGTGGAGCAAATAGGCACTGCCATATTTCCCTAGCAATGGTGCAGCATGAGTGTTTAAGAAGTGCTTAGCATTTTAAGAAGGTCTCCTGGAAAGTACAGAATTACAGATACACAATAGAACAGATTCAGACATAAAAGACCTCTAAATGGGTCACAGTGTTTGATAAATGTACATAGACTTGAGAAAGAAGAAAAAGAATATAGAGAGTTATGAAAAGAACTAAATAGTTTTGAAAAATGTAAAGTCTTTAAAGAGAGTACAGACAGTCATAGATTAAAAGAATAAATATAATAAAGTAAATATTAAAATGTAATAGAGTAAAAAAAGCCATGTAAAGATATAGTATTCACAAAGAGTCTGGATTTTGTATACTATTATGTTTTCTTTGAATTTCTGACTGCAGAGAGACATTTGATTCTAGGGATTGCTAAGCTAAACCGATGTATATAGTATCTTGTGGTCAAAATTTGGGTCTACAGATATATTGCTCTGGAAAAGAGGTTCTTCTTTTGATTCCACTGAGGATGAGAACATGTGTAGTGCTTCAAGACTAATATAGTTTGATGTACCAAGATCCCCTGGGAGGTTGCTATGAACAACCCCAAGAAATACTTTTTTAAGTGCTGACTGAAATGAACCTACCACACAGGATGCACTATTAAAGACCTAATTAATAGTTCCCTCACCAAGCAGAAAGCAGCTTAGAGAACTATATACATATTGTTAAATATAGTTTATAAATATTTGTTTACATTTAAAAGGAGGCATGCTATAGATATTTGCATTGGTATGGATCTTGGTTTATTGACACAAATTTAAGGTCAATTTTAATGCATGTTTATTTCTGCTCTTGTTTAAGGTATTTGGGCAGCTCATTTAAAATGTAATGTATAATTAAGAACTATGGGTAAATAGAGAGTCATCTAAAATAGTCAAGCTTGTAGTCATGTTAGTTAGATTTTCTAGATGTATAGAGATATATTTCAGATGGATAGGGATTCTTCAAATATTTCAGAGGTCTTCAGAATATGACATTTAAAGTGCTTTAAGAATTAGGACGCTTCATGATAGTAACACACATCTGCACCTGGCACCACCAAGCTACTTCAAGAAGAGATGGGTGTCAAAGAAAATTCTTAAAGAATTTGTTAGCCATCTGGGCAAGAAGCTGCTCTTGCCTGGACTGCTTGATGGCATGCTATGTGAACTAGACATATAGGACGCACATAAAATGATTGCTGAACTTGTGTAATGGTAAGATGTTCCTTCAAGGTTCCTGTATCATGAAAGAGTCTGCAAGACATTCTACAGGGCACAGAAAAAATTTACTGACAAACTGCCAATATAGGCAGAACTGTCTTTGAAATTATAAGCTTCATAGAAAATTCTGCTGAACACTATGGGCCTATAGGCTGAAGACAAATGCCCCAAAGGTACAGAAGGACTTTGGGTGATTATCTAGGCAGCAAGATACATCTGCCAATTCTAGAGTTTTGCAAGTAGCTTATAATACACTTCCTGTTTACTTAGGTAATATTATGTCCACCTGGAGTCTTAGCTGCAGTTGAAGAAGAGATAGTTATAGTTATAGTTTTACTTAGTTATGATAAAAAAGTAGATATAAATGTTATAACTGTGATTATTTAAACAGTAAAAGGGAGGTGATGTGGGATTCCCCTCTGTATGCTGTAAATAGCATTGGTTAATAAAGCACTATGAGCCTACAGCAGAGCAGGACAAAAAAGCTATGTGGCAAAAACTAAAGTAAATAAAAGAAGGGCAAAGTCAGAGAGAAGCCATGTGGTCACGATGGACACAGAAGCTGGAACTTTCCTCAATAAGCTACAGCCTCATGGCAATACACAGATTAATAGAAATGGGCTAAATTAGGATATAAGCATTAGCCAATAAGAAGACAGAGCTAATGAGTCAAACATTGACTTAAGAAACATGGTTTCTGTGTAATTATTTTGAGGCTGAGTGGCCAGAATTACTAAGTGGCCTTCGTCCAGCGGGTGTGAATAAGATGTGTTACATGCTTTGGCACTCCTTTCTAGTGTTTGAGTCTGTGTTTTTCCAGCTCAAATAAGGAATGATCATCCTTCTTTGACAATCCTTGGTTGTTAAATGTGTATGGTTTATATTTTTTCACATGCACAAGATTTTCTCATTTGTGTGGAACAATTTCTGAATTGGTAATTTATTAAATCTGTTAAAATGCTGGTGTCTCTCTGCTCATGCACTTTATTTGTAAGCAGTGGTAAAATGAAGATGTGATGTGGAAGGAGAAAAGAGAAAATGAGTTCTAAGGGAGGAAATTATGTTCCTGATCCAGAAAAACACTGAACTGAATTTGGTGTGGTGGATAATCATATAAACTACACTACTTTTCAGTTTCAATATATTCAGTTAGGATGTCAAGAATATGATACAAACATATGAAATGTGATTCTACAAAATAAAATCTATTTGAAAACTAATGTGATGTTATTTTAGTTTCTTACAATATCAAGGTGGGAGAGAAAGACAGAGAGAGAGAGAGAGAGAGAGAGAGAGAGAGAGAGAGAGAGAATTTCATAGATATTTAGGTTCTTCTTTTTGAATTCCATTCAATCATGATTATTTTAATAAATAACCATTTCTGACAGTCCTAGATATTTACAAATTTAATTCTATGTTATACAGGAGTTTTACTAATTTCCCTCTTGCCAACACTTTTCCCATTTTTTTCGCTACCAAGATATCTCATTGTACTCAATACCAGATATGGAACTGTATTTTCCATAAAAGAACCAAGAGCCTTGATTGTGCATACCCTCACCTGTATTATTAATCACCCCACAAATGAAAACGTGTCTGTTGATCAAGGTTGAGAAGTGTAATGAAGGCTGAGCTAGTCAGTATCCCCATTTGAGTTCATCTTATTGTTGCTCTGTTTTATCTCGTGACCACTCACGAAAACTTCCCTCACAAATATAGGCAATATTGTGAAAAGTTTCAGCTACATTTTTACCTTGGAGTCTATTTGATAATAAAGTATTTAAAACTGTAAAAAGGAAGAAAACTATAAACATATCCCTAATGACAATGAGCAGGAAAGAATATGAGATAATAAACAAAATGAACCCCTCTAGCATGTAGAAAATATGGCATCTGTATGGAAACAGCAAATATGCAGATCATTAAAGGACAACACTTCCATATGTTAAATATTAAACAGTAATATTATCCCTTGCCATCTCCACCTCACATTGTCATAGAAGGTTGCCTCAAAGCAGTGTGGAGAAAATAAATACTAAACATTTCTTGTTCTTAGATGTCTGGTTCTCACGGCAAAAAGATTTTATAATTTTTGAAAAGGGGACATAACATTGTGTAAAGAAAAGCACTCGGTAATCTAAAAAATGTACTTAAGTCAAATAACCAACCAATTCCAAAATAAGAAAAGATAGACTTCAATCTAGTTATTTACATGAGTAATCAACAATCACAAAAGAAAACAGAAAGTAAGTGGTTTAACAATACCATAAACTCAGGAAGGTGTCTCTTCCAGTGTCAACTTCTTGGAATGCAGAGACAAAGTATGGCTTTACTGCTTTAATTGAAACAACTAATTGGAACAATTGAACAGGAGAGTCAGATGCTGTATGAGAAATAAACAAAATAAGTTAAAGGACAAAATATGGCTAAATAGATATAAGTACACTTAAAACTATAAACATTTATTTAAGGTTATTAATAACATGCATTTATATTTTAAATACAGCACTTAATTGACTTTAAAGCCAATAACTTTTAAAGATATTTAGAGGCTAAAATATACCACACACAGTGAAGATATATTACTTTGTGGTCTACAGTCAAACTCATTGTATTTCATAGGGAACTGTAATTAGATGTCCAAGACTGACACATTATTCAGATAGAAGAGTAAAAACAGGGAACTAAAATTTTCACTTATATTTCAAAACTTAGGACAAATTGATTATCATGAAGTCATTTTAATACAGTATATAGTTAAATATACATTACTGAAACAGAATCAAGTGCACCAAATGAACACTCAAATACATTTCTGTACATGTATATGTATGTATAAGGGTTCTACTGTATGTGACAGTTATACATAGACAAGGTCAACATCAGAGCTCCTCCTCCATTCAATTCCAACATATATTCATTGAGACAGAGTCTGTCATGTATCCTAGAGCTCACCATCCTGTTACACTAATAGATCAATTCTGGTATAATGTAATTGTGTGTGTGTGTGTGTGTGTGTGTGTGTGTGTGTGTGTGTGTTTGTAAAATTTAACTGAATTTCAAAAACTTTTGATATTTGCAGACAAAAAAGTCATTTTCAAAACCATTGGGACAAGTGGATACAATATGAAAACTGAGTATCTTACTCAACAACACATAAAGTACATTGATATTTCCCATGTAGCAATACATATCTAGATATTAAAATTTAGGAAAGATGGCTATTTATTATAAATTAATATTGTCACATTAATAAAATAATAGGTAATATGGAGGCAGAAATGTGTAAAAATATAATAAACAAAACTATGTAATTTGTAAGATGAATTATATACTCAAATAGGCCTGGTAACACAAATATAGGATTTTGCTGGAACAATAATTGCCTATTAGTTAAGATGGTGGGAGCAGACCCAGAATATGAAAAGGCAGTGTGCATATAAGCCCCATATGTACATCACTACCTATTCTTAAAATCTCTCACTCTGCTAGTTGAATTTTCCAGTATGATGTCTAAATAATAATAAAGTGATACCAAATAAACAGCAACTACCATTTAATAATAGACAAAAATGAAACTAAAAAGGCAAAATCTAAAAATTTAGGTAGGTCCTGACATACCTAAAGAAAAAAGATAAGTCAATCAAGAGACTCAAGTATTTTAAAACATTATATTGTATAAAATAATTAATTGATCAGAAAATATGAAATATTCCACTACTCTGAATTTTAATGATAAATATGAGAACTATAACATTATCTTATGTCTTGCCATTTCTGCAAAGCCATTCTATTAGAATTCAAGAGGTAAAATTACAAACAAATAAGTAGAAGCCCTAAGAATGTTCCAAATGACAAGAAATAAATATTTTCCATTCTCTCAAAATTATCTAATACATATAAATTATGTACACAGATAACAGAAAATTTCTCACATTTTGGAAGATAATCTGCCCAGCAGTGGCCATGACTACATAAGAACAACATCAGAGCCAGTCAGTAGAAAATGCCCTTCAAATTTTTGATGAGGGAGCCAAGAAGACGACTAAGATAATTGGCTGCTGTTGTGACCTTGGTTGCTTCCAAGAAGTGGAAGTTAAGTCCCTATGCTGAAACACTGTGTTTTTGTTCTGGAACTATAAAAATTTGACCAGGAACTACATAAAACCCTGGGTTTAAGGATTAGCTATCAGAGACCAAATGATGTTAGGAAAGCTGTCAAGGAAGAAAGGGATTGACATGTTCAAATTAGTGATGATTCCTTTAAATGACAATGACAAGCATGACTAGATTTCACTGAAGGTGCAATACTGGATCATACATCTTATCAATAATTAATATCTATCTAATCGAACTCAAGTCTTCCTTAAAAATGGTAAAGACTGTTGAATATTGCAAATCACAAATATGACAGGCTTAGTTAGTCCATGTAAGAGGCCCTTATCAATACTTTCATAAAATATTATAATATCTAACAGCATTAGCACTTTGGTTGTTATATCCACAGAAAATTTTAGAACTAGGAATCAACAGGTTATATTTACACACCGATTTGTGTGTGTGTGTGTGTGTATAAATAGACTTGTGTGTGCAATACATAATAAAAATAATGAATGAGGAGGTAATGAATTTGAGAGTGGGGTGATGACTACACAGTAAGAGTGTGAGAGATAGTGATGTGGAAATTATGCAAATACACAATTTTTTTATTAAATTCTTGTACTGTTAAATATAAAAGGCAATTAAAGAAAACAATAAGTTGAGAAATACAGTTTCGGTGGAGAAGTAGAACAGGACAGGAGAATAGGGATGAAAATAACAAAAACTTACTGACAGTGTCCTTTGCTTTACAGAAGCTTCCCAGTTTCAGGAGGTCTCATTTATTCATTGATTCAATTATTGTCTGTGCTACTGGGGTTCTACGTAGGAAATGGTCTCCTATCAGTAAGACAAAAAGGCTACCTTCTGACTGGGAGAAGATCTTCACCAACCCCTCATCAGACAAAGGTCTGATCTCCAAAATATACAAAGAACTCAAGAAACTAGACACTAAAACTCTAATAAACCCAATTTAAAAAATGGGGTACTGAACCGAACAGAGAATTCTCAACAGAAGAACTTTGAATGGCCAAAAGACACTTAAGGTCATGCTCAACCTCCTTAGCGATCAGGGAAATGAAAATCAAAACAGCTTTGAGATACCATCTTACACCTGTCAGAATAGCTAAAGTCAAAAACACCATTGATAGCCTATGCTGGAGAGGATGTGGAGTGAGGGGAACACTCATCCATTGTTGGTGGGAAAGCAAACTTGTGCAGCCACTGTGGAAATCAGTGTGGCGGTTTCTCAGGAAACTGGGAGTCAACCTCCCTTAGGACCTAGCAATTCCACTCTTGGGAATATACCCAAGAGATGCCCTAACATACTACAAAAGCATTTGTTCAACTATGTTCATAGCAGCACTATTTGTAAAAGCCAGAACCTGGAAACAACCTAGGTGCCCCTCAATAGAGGCACATTAGAGTTTTACTCAGCGGTAAAAAACAATGACATCTTGAATTTTGCATGCAAATGGATGGAAATAGAAAACGCTTTACTGAGTGAGGTAACACAGACCCAAAAAGAGGAATACGGTATGTACTCACTCATAAGTGGATTCTAGACATAGTTAAAAGTCTTTGAGCCTATAATTCGTGATCCTAGAGAAGCTAAATAAGAAGGTGAACCTGAAGAAATTCATATAGTTATCCTTTTGGATACTGGAAGTAGACAAGATTGCCAGGCAAACTTGGGTGCACAGGGGTGGGGTGGAAGTAAGGGGAGATGGTTAGAGAGAAGGGAGAAGGGGAGGATGTGGGATAGCTTGGGGGAATGGGATGGGGGAAGGGAGGAAGAATGGATATGGGAGCAGGGAAGTATATATCTCAACTAAGGGAGCCATTTTAGGGTTTGTAAGAGACTTGATTCTAGAGGAGTTCCCAGGTCCAAGGAGAAGTCCCCAGATTGTTCCCTGGGCAGCAGAGGAGTGGGTGCCTGAACTGGCCTTGGCCCATAACCATACTGATGAATATTTTGCATATCACCATAAAACCTTCATCTGGCGATGGATGGGGATAGAGACAGAGACCCACATTGGAACACAGGACTTAACTCCCTAGGTCCAAATGAGAAGCAGAAGGAGGGAGAACATGAGCAAGGAAGGCAGGATCAGAGGGAACCTTCATCCGACGATAGATGGAGATTGAGACAGAGACTCACATTGGAGCACTGTACTGAGCCCTCAAGGTCCAAATGAGGAGCAGAAGGAGGGATAACATGAACAAGGAAGTCAGGACCGCGAGGGCGGCCAATCACCCACTGATACAAGGGGACTGATCTAATGAGAGCTCACCAAGGCCAGCTGGACTGGGACTGAACGAGCATGTGAACAAACCGGATTCTCTGAATGTGGCTGACATGGGGGCTGTCGGAGAAGCCATTGATAATGGCACTGGGACTTGTTTCATCTGCATGTACTGACTTTTTGGGATCCTAGTCTGTTTGGATGCTCACCATCCTAGACCTGGAGGTAGGGGGAAGGAACTTGAACTTCCCACAGGGCAGGAAACTCTGACTGCTCTTAGGACTGGAGAGCGAGGAGGAGAGGGAGTGGGGGGAGTGGGAGGGTATTGGGAGGAGGGGAGGAAGTGGAAATTTTTATAAATTATTAATAATAAAAAAAGAAAATAACAAAAATTCATATAAATGTATGAAAAACCTCTACTTATTAAGAAAAATAAATACAAGAAGAAAACATTCAAAAAATGAGATCAAGCATTGAACTTGAATTTTTACAAATTTAAATGGAGGTAATACAAATGTTCAGTACATCCCCAAAAGTTAGAAAGGAAAAGATACAAATTGACAACACTTCACAAAAACATTTAGTGAATATTGTTTTCAAGAAAATTATTGGAGAAATGAATAGTAGGTGTTTCTATAGCAAGAAACATAAACTATGTCTAATTAAAATGAATTGAATATAATACCTACAGAAATAGTAAGACATATATAAAGTATTTTGATTCATAAATATATCTAGCAAACATACTACTACATGAAAAGATAAAAATAATGGAATGTTATATGCAAGAAATTAGTAATTGGAAAGGAAAAGGAAAAATAAAATGAGACTTACAGGACCACCAGCTAGGTTTGGTGAGTGTGTCTTCAGTGAAACCTCTCAAAAGTTGGGGAGAAGCACTTCCTCCACTCCTTAGTCTGAGATTATAATGAGCAGGCTTGTGAAACTCTACAACATGAATATAAAATAAACAAGAATAAATATTGAGAAAGTGCAAAACATGTACACTTAAACAATAAATTATTTGCATATGATTATTAAGATCTACATATAGTTTAGAAAGGTCCAATTTCCTTGACAAGTAGTTTCAATCGTATTATTACTGCAATATAGAGATTATACACAGTGGGCATATCCATATATGCCATGCTTCCAATGATCAACATTTTTCTAAAACTTATATAGAACACAAGAAATCCAGTATTGATGAAACTGTCCTGAGAAGAAGAAGAAGGTCATTCCACTCACACTTCCTGCTTTCAGACTTGCTGTTATATAACACAACATACACACACTTATAAACGTAAACATATCTGAGATAAATTATGGCTCAAAAATGTCATTTACTACTAATCATTTAAGTCATCTTATAAATTGCCAAAAGATATACTAGGTAAAAAAGTTTCTCAAGTGTTTTATTCTAATGGGATAACACAGTAAAATTTGAATTTTCACTTACATAATACATATAGATGATTTTTTATTTATGTAAGAATGTGTGTGTTTATGTTTATGTATGTTTGTGCCTGTATATCAAAACAATCAATGAAAAAAAGCCAATATATCTAAAAATGACCAATGAGCATAATATGAGAGGATTTGGAAAGAAAAAAAACGGAAAGTGATTTAATTATATTATAGTTTCAATTCTTTTTAAATATACTTAAATAAAGAAGCATATCACATAGTAAAATGCATGTCCAATTTTAAAAATACACAAATATGATATATGTTAACATTATTCTCTAAAGTACTGATAAAAGCAATACATTCTGTGGTGTATGGCCATGAATTTTCTGAGAGATAAATATTCTCTATGCCCTCTCTCTTTGATGGGTCTAACTTGATGTTTCCATAGCTGTCTACCCTGGCAAAGGTTGCTGGAGAAATAAACATTTCCTATGGAAAGAATAAGAGGAAGCCAGTTATCAATGAATTAACTGTATAATATACTTATGAACATTTGAGGTACTCTGGTGCTATCTAGAATTACACATGAACTTTAGAAGAGTAAGTGTCAACAGCAAAGCTCAAAATACAAATCTTTTCCTTCATATGAGGTAAAGCAAAGAATACTGTAACTCATCCAGAAGATTTTTTAAAAAAATATTATTTTAACAAGGAGAGCACACAAACAAATGGTTATTAATACTTAATGGTCATCACTGAAAACATAAAATGTAATAGTAGTTACTAAGTTACTAAGTTAGTTACTAAGAAATATGTACCTACATTGATACAGTTATGTGCATGAATCATCAAAGAAGGTTTTAAAAGGAAATGAAATTAAATGAGAGAAAGGAGGGATGTATTGGAGGATTTAGTGAAGAAAGAATCAGGGTGAATTATGAAATAATGTTATAATTTTAAAATTCAAATAAACAATTTTCAAAAGTAAAAAAAAAATAGCTGCATCTTGACATATATTCCTGGTATTTATCTTTCCCTAGTGAGACATGAAGAAATAATGACATCCATAAAATTGGAAGAAAATTGCTTTGAAATTCTCCTTTGTGAATAACTGTGCTTACTAGGGTTACAGATGGAATTCAGGCACACACATCATGGTAAATCTCTACCCAGCAATCGCTATTACTTGAGGCAGCCACAGAGCAAGATCTTCTCTGCCATGACAGCAAGCATCTCCAGTGAACAGACACAACTACCACAATAATCATTTGCTATGTTTTTAAATAGGCCATGTTAAGAAGCCTTTTCAAACATTTAAGTTTGTGAGATTCTTTGGCAATGTAAGTAAATGTTTCCTTAGCCCAGGAAACATCTTCCTGGAAGCAAATGCTTTAATTCACAGAAAATGGATTCACAACAGAGAAAATACTCTGTTCCAATACATATGGAAAGACCCAGGCAACAGAACAGCTCTTTCGAGATTCACATATTCATTTGTTACTTAAGTCATCTCAGATTGAGTAGGAGGAAAGGAAATGGTAAGACTGCCTGATTCTTGGTATACTTTGAGGTCTAAATGAAGTGAGCATTCCAGTAAACTTGGCACAGGGGTGGACAAAGGACTAGTACTTTTTCTAATTTTAAATCTTTTGTCTCAAATATATGATTCCATCACCAACTACTCATTTTTGAGTAACAATGAAAACAGCCATTAATAAAACATGACATAATAAATTATTTATTGATTTTTGTTGATATTTTCTTTGTAAAGATGGGTTGGCCAGATAGGATTTCTCTGTGTAAACTTGGCCTGTCTAGAGTTCATTCTGTAGACCAGGCTGGCCTAGAAATCACAGATTTGCCTACATCTGTCTCCCAAGTGCTGAAATTAAAGATGTGAAACATCACTGTCCAGCTACAATAAATTCTTGTCCTTTAATTATTATATAATTATATACTTTAGAGTAAGTATAATGTCATGAATAAATGATGGAAAATTCAATAAAACATATGTTCTCTATTTCAGATTCTTCTCCTGGAAAAGTTTCCCATCACTATACCTTCTGTCTCCACACTGTGTACACTTTGTGCCAACCTCATGGTTTGATGCTACAACATTTTTTCAGAACTTCCACATGAGCCACAGGCTACACCTTTCTAAGCCACAAAAGCCACACTGCATGTTGTTATAATAATGTAGTTTCTGAAAAGACTTGCAGGGTTATTTTTAAGCAAGCACATGTCTTATGGGGAAACTATCAACCAATCACATCTAAATAGGGAGTGGCTACCTGGGGCCCAAGTAGAAATACTAGGAGATCCAGGTGCACTCCTCTCTCTGTGCAGTGCCTGCCAGACATATAGGACATCGGATCTTCCACTCATGTAGCTTGAGTTTCCCCTTTTCAACTATTAAAATATAACTGTTATTCTTGAGCTGGTCTGGTTATTTATCATACTGATCTAATTCACCAACACTTGGTGCCAGATCGTGGAGCCACTACAGTTTCACGTGCCCCTCGCCAATTGTGCTCACTGCTACCAGAGACATAGGCTACCCCCTGGGCTTCCTTTGGCTCTGTGCCCCATGCCCTGCCACCATGCACTCCCCCCACCTCATGCCCCACTGCAGGCTTTGAGTCCAGCCACAGCTGCCGCTCTGCCAGAGCGGGAAACTATTGAACAACCTAAAACATTCACAGAGCACACAGTCTATGATTTTAACTTCTTGATTTCAGTATATTTTTTAGTATTTTGTTTATATTTAGCCATCTAAAACCAAGCACGTGGATTCAGGTGCACCCTGACATCTACTGACAGGTAACAGTTATTGCACCTTCTCAAGCTGATTGATTCATAGGTAAGATTTATTATTTTGAATTTAAAAATGGCAGTATGTCAGACAATCTAACTGTCCAAGGTTTTCATAGTTTTTTACTTACACCATGTGTGAGGTCTTACAAGACGCATATGATGTCCCTCCTACATGGTTATTTCTAGGATTCACCTTTTTTCTTATATTTTATAGTTTTTTCATGAAAATATGGTTTGACAATAGGAAAATGATGCAGTCTTTACAGACTGAATACAGGCTTCTTAGAAAAGAAGTTGGAAATTCAAGGAAGGACACAACAATCTGAACGTACAATTTTCAGTCAGCTGAGGTACTTTTATATACAACACAGACTGATGCCCAACACTTCAAGACAGAGATTGCAGTTCTCAAGGAGGATACTAGGACTTTGTTTAATACAACTCGGTCAACTGAGCTATTTTTGGAAAAGGTACAGTATAATAGTAATTCATTTAAGGAGAGATTCAGCACTCTGGAGAAGAAAACAGCTGATTTGACATAAAAGTAATTCATTTAAGGAGAGAATCAGCACTCTAGAGAAGGAAACAGCTGATTTGACACCTAATAGTAATTCATTTAAGGAGAGATTCAGCACTCTGGAGAAGGGAACAGATGATCTGGCACATAATAGAAATTCATTTAGAGAGAGATTCAGCACTATGGAGAAGGAAATGGCTGATTTGACACATAAAACCCAATCCATGATGGTGGGTGCTGTTGAATTTATTAATCGGACTCTGTCAAAGGGATATGACAGTTTGACTGATAGAATGTCTCTCCAAGAAGGTAATATACATGTCATGAAGATTATGTACAAGAATGAGATATTATCTCTAATGGACAGACTTCATACCTTAGAATCCTCAATGAGGATGCATTAAAGCAGAATACTGGACAGGAGGAGATCCAGACCCTGCAGAAGGCAGTGGCAAACAGATTTGAAAAGATTGAGGAAATTATCAACTTTGATGACCAGGAGCAAAAGGTAAGAAGGAAAATTTAACTTTGTCAGTGTCTAAAACTCTGAGGTAGTTTCCCCAGAGTTCTACCTGCCTTTCCAGTAATAACATCAGAAAAAGTAGCTGGCTCCAAATACCCTAAGGTTATCAAGGAACATACATGGGAGCCCGTACATATGAGTGATTTAAAAGAAATTAAATAAGCAATTGTGACTTACAGACTACATTTGTCCTTTGTTAGAGAGATGGTCAAAATCTGGGCTTTCAGTAACAAAGACAGACCTCACAATTGAGCTCAGTTAATCTCAGCTGTCCAAGAAAGTGGGCCACAATTGCACTGAAGACGCCTTCTTAAAGAGGAAGCAAGAATTTTAGAGCAACAGGAAAGAGCAAAAGGAACTGAGATTTCCCTAGATCAAATTCTAGGTGACGGACGTTTTTCTGATCCTCAGGACCAAGCTCTTTATGATGACCACATCCCGTCCGTATGTACCTCAGCAACTTTAAAGGCTTGGGACAGGGTTCAGGAACCAGGTCAGAGAGTGGAATCATATCTTAGGGTTAAACAGGGTCAGAGAGAACCCTTTAGTGACTTTTTGCAAAGAATAACTAGGGCAGTACAAATAGGGATAACTGACCCAGAAGCTAGATGTATAATAATTGAATCTTTAGGTTATGAGAATACCAATGTGGAGTGCAAAAGGATCCTGGGGCCTTTAAAGATC